TTTATAATGAACTTTGACATACTAGACATGTTTTGTCAGTGAAAATATTTAGGCTAAACATCCCCCTTCCACTGAAGAGCAAAACTTCTGATGACACTATTTCTCAAGTAAGTATATTTGAAAATAAGAAAGCAGAATAAGTTGAAAATCTCCCAGAAAATCCAGACCCTATATATATAATACTTTCACATAAATATTAGAAAAGAAATAGTACAGTGCTAGACATTCACGTTAGCTTCATAAACAAACCAAACTCAAAGTGACTCTACATTCACTTTCTAAGCCTGTAAATATTTACAAAAGCAGATGGCCTCATCTTTCTTCCATGGAGCGGCTGGTGGGTTCAAACCACTGAGCTTTTGGTTAGCAGTCAAATGCCTTAACCATTACACCAGCAGTAACAGGCTACCCAAAAAAAACCCCAAACCCATTCATTGCCCAGAGGTGACTCAGGGCAACCAATTATGACCCTACAGGACAAAGCAGAATTGCCCCACAGGGTTTCCAAAGCTGTACATCTTCACAGAAGCCAACTGCCACATCTTTCTCCTGCAGAGCTGCTGGTGGATTCAAACTCAGACTTTTCGGTTTGCAGGGGATCGTTTTAAACACTGTGCTACCAGAGCTCAATATAATAGTCTACATATACTAGAAATTACCCTAAATTATTAAATAGACTGTATCATACACTTATTCAACACACAGACATGGCCTCAAATTCCAATCTGGCACACACATTTTCAAAGACTGGCTAAAATAATCTCCCAATCATGTAGAAACCTTTATATTCAAATTAAATGATGTAATGTAAAAAAATCCAAGAATAAGGAGAAACTCTTCACTTTCCATTAAATATTTCTGAGCCACTCATAACTTTGGAACATTTAAAACTTATCAGAGATCATCTAAACCCTGCTCTCATATAGAAAATGAAGCCCCAAAGGATTAAGTTACCAAAAAAAAACCCCAAAAAACACCAAACTCACTGAGGTGGTTGTTTCCAGCTCAGCGACCCCTCCTTGGGTTTCCAAGGCGGTATCTCTACAGAAGTAGATTGCCCAGTCTTCCTTCCGCAGAGTTGCTGGTGGGTTTGAACCACCTCTGGTTAGCAGTCAAATGCCTTGGCACTATGCCACCAGAGCTCCCAAGAATAAGTTACTAACAGTTAAATGACACTAAATGTAGATCCTCATCTCCTGACTTTTACAGTCAAGGTTCTTTCTCATACATCGTGTTGTCCAGGAAAGTTGTATGAAGTATCTCAAGTCTTTATCACATAAATATTCTTGTATATTAAAATGACAGTTATTTTAATAAGCTTATTTAGCAATAAACGTTGTTGTTGTTATGTGCCACCGAGTCGAACCTGACTCATAGTGACGCCTCCTTGGGTTTCCAAGGCAGTATCAGTACAGAAGTAGATTGCCCAACCTTCCTTCTGAGGAGTGGCTGGTGGGTTTGAACTGCCAGCCTTCTGGTTAGCAGTTAAGTGCCTTAGGCACCATGCACCAGAGCTCCCTTAGCAATAAATAGGCACTATTTATTCTTTATTCAAACTTATGCACCAGCATAACTGTTGAACTGTTAGCTTAATGAGTGCATACACATTATCTAAGCCTCAAAAGGGGGGATACCTTAACATGTAACAACCACCCAAACCCCCTGCCATCACCTCAATTCTGACTCATAGCAAGCCTATACCAAACCAAAACCAAATTCACTGCCCTGGAGTTGGATCCGATTCACAGCGACCCCTCCTTGGGTTTCCAAGGCAGTATCACTACAGAAGTAGACTGCCCAGCCTTCCTTCGGAGGAGCGGCTGGTGGGTTTGAACCACCAGCCTTCTGGTTAGCAGTCAAGTGCCTCAGGCACTATGCTACCAGAGCTCCTCAGCAAGGCTGACAGGACAGTGTAAAACTGCCCCATAGAGTTTTCAAGGCTGTAAATCTTTACCAAAGACTGCCTACCTCATCTTTCTCCTTCGGAGCAGCTGGTGGATTTGAACCACCAACCTTCTTTCTGGTTAGCAGATGAATGCCTTAACCACTGCACCACAACAATAAAAGCAAACCAAAACCAAACTCATTGCCATCGAGTCGATTCTGACCCACAATAATCATAATAGTGAGTCCTTTACACTTGCTTAGAAACGACACTTATACTAAGCAATATTCAACTTAAAGTTTATCTCCTTTAAAAGTTTTCTTTGATTAAAGCACATTATAGCATTCATTGTAACTACATTAATATTTACATATCATACAGACTTTGAGCTGTCTCATCAATAAAGACGTGATATCTTTATGAGGAAAAATTATGTCTAACACTTGCTTCCACCCCCAAGGGGATAAAAGGTATCATTCTGTCCATTTTACAAATAAAAATTCTACCCCAAACATTACTCTCCCAACATTGCTGGAAATTAGCAGGAACAAAAATTACAAACATGATTCTTGATTTTCTAGGCCACCTTTTTTCCCTAACTTTTGACTCATTGAATTAACCTTGGGTAAATCAGCAAACCTGTCTCAAGTTTCTTTCTAAAATAGGGCTTGTAAAGAAGCTTCAGATTACATGAACATGATTGAGGAAATGATTTAAAAACATTCAGATGTACAACATATTCTTCCCCAAAAAATATGATTGTAAAAGGAAACTTTATTTGTAAAATTTGCATATACTAAAGAAATGGAATAGGGCTAGTAAACCCATTAACCTTTTCTAACCCTTTTCAAAGGGAAATAAAACATTTGTACTTTCACACTGCAAACTGTCTCTAGCCACTCCAGGTTACAATCAGCTTCACTGATAATTCCAAAAACTTGTGAAATACCTTCTATTGGCAAAATTAAGCTTTCCTACTTTTTAACAGGGAGCTCTGGTAGCATAGTGGCTAAGACACTTGCCTGCTAACCAGACGGCTGGCGGTTCAAATCCACCAGCCACTCCTCGGAAGGAAGGTTGGGCAATCCTACTTCCGTAGTGATACTGCCTCGGAAACCCAAGAAGGGGTCGCTATGAGTCGGGGCCGACTCGACGGCACATAACAACAACAACAACTTTTTAACAGCATTTTGCAAAACTGTGACTACACGTTCTCTAGATATGTTCACAACCAGTGAAACTATATCCCTTGAAATGTACATGTTTTATACTCACCAAAATATCATTGCCTCAAATATTCAAAGTATCATTAGTACCAATAATACAAAGTAAAAAATGGTACCCCTTGATATAGCAATAGACTGGACATACACAAGAAAACAAATTCTTAATGTGCTCTGCCTCTTACTAAAACTCAAGTTCTCGCTCTAAGCAGAAAATAATTGTCCAACAAATGGGTTTAAATCACTGACTCAGTGATTTTTCTTTGAGATATTTTAAGTGTGTAGTATTAAAATTCGTAAAATAAAAGGCTGATCACTTGTACAATACATACGGTTATATCATTCCAGACTAAACTTAAGTTGTGCTAAATTTAAAGACACGCGTATCTTCGTGATTTCTCCCAACCCAACTGAATCAGTTTCGCCAAACTACCAATTACAAGCCCCCTGCCAAAAATCAATGGATGAAAACAGTAAAACCTTTTACATTAGTGTTCGCTGAACACTTCCCATCAATAGCGATATGAAATAGGACTCGGGGAAAGGAACGTGTGTTTATTATTAAAGTAAACATCATTTAAGCACTGCTTCATCAATTCAGGGCCCTCGATTAGCAAGCTGCTATTAAGTAAAGCTGCTTTTTCTATGTAACATAAGTCCATGCCCTTCCGCTGCAGCAGTGGCGCTGCACATCCCCCACCCCTGCGGCCACTTCCGTGTTTACACTCCTCTTCCCTCCAATTCCATGCGTACATTGTCAGCTTCACTCCCGCCCAATCTTCATTGGCCCAGCCCTGGTCCTTAGTCCCGCCCCCAAAAATCAACGTTCTTATTTGGAACAGCTCAGAGAGCAGATTGGAAGCAAAGGCCTGTCAATCCCGTCGGTTCTGTCCTCTCCGCTGCGCTTCCGCTATGGTGGGAGGTTTGGGGGGGAGGGGAAAAGGGGGCAATTCCGTGCTGAGACTTCCCTAGGGCCAAGACTCCTTCCCGCCCGCCCTACTCCCTCACATTCACCCACTGTTTACAAAAATAAACGTTCCCTGACGCTCCAATGCTCCAGATCAGGGGTGCAAAAGATACTGTGTCCTCCTTTTTCCCCCCGAAAGGGAGGGAAAAAAAAAACCCACCACCCAGGAGGAAAGGGGCATAAGCCTAGTTTCTTCACAACTACCCATTAAATGAGAAGAGTCAGGTCCCTGAAACAAACACCATCCCCGATCACTCAACATTATTAAAGTGACCCTTTCCAAAACCGTTACTCCTGAGGCTGCCAATAAAGTGGGGATGTGACCAGGGTCAGAGTTTTGTTTTTTTTTTTTTTGGCGGGTATTGGTCTATCTGACCTCGTCGAGGGTTGCCTCGTTTATACGAAAATCATGGATTTGTGGAAGAAGCCAAAAGAGTAACGGGGCGGGGGTGGAGAATACTGACGAGAGAAGCCCGCCGCCCCCGACCGCGGGCAGTAGCGGCCTCTCCGGCCAGACAGCGTGGCAGGCGCAGCCGAAAGACAACAGCCTCACTCACTTCCTGGTTTCTCAGCAACTGGGGTGAAGCGCACAACTCATCCGTCCCCGAGTCCCCAACTTATCTATGGCTCAGTTCTCCAGCACCCACTGCCAACGCTCTGCTCAGCAGCTGCCACTGCTGCTCGGCAAACCCACCCAGAAGCGACAGCGCCGGATTCGAGGCAGGTTACTCTCCAAGGTGATCACTTCCTGATTCGTCGCCTCCATTACTTCATTCACTACCCCCCTTTTCCCTGGTCGCTTCAGTGACTGTGAGGTAGACACTGTACCTCCTTGCACTGATCGCTAAAGAAGAGTCACCCCTCTTTCTGTGCACCCCCTTTCCTGCTGCACCGATGCACAGGAGAAAAGTTCCCCGATTCTTACCGGCCCGGATGAGCAGATCCAGCTGGTTCGTGGGTCCCTCATGCAGAGACGTCGCCATGTTTATCCCGGGGCTGGAGCTGCTGCTTCACATTGACTTACACCAAGAGCAGCGGCGGCAGGGGGAGGCGGAACCCGCGCCCGGAGACACACGCCGTCCTCCAGACACACTCACGCACTCGCACACACTCAGACGCCCGGATCCTTGCGCGTCCTCCGACAGGAAGCCGAGGCCGGCCCGCCTCCCGCCGCCGGGCTGAGAAACCCCACCACCTAACGGCAGGGGCGGCGGCGGCGGCGGCGGCAGCGGCCACGACTGGCAACGCGATCCTTCCGCCCCGCGCCCAGACAGGAAGTCCTGGACGCCCGCTCAGATGAGCGCACACAGACCGCGGTCAGAAAGAAACACCTGAGGCTGCGGAATCACTCCTGAGTCGCAGTTAAAATGCTGCTCCTTGGCAAGAAAAGGCACATTTCACGCTCTGCGCAAGAAAAGTCTGCAATTGTCCCTCCTCTGGAAAAAAGCCACAGTCAAATTTTCTTCCAGGAAGAGATCTTAATAGCTAGCCCCGCAGCTGTAAATAAAGGTGGCTATTTAACTTAGTTTGGCCTTTTCAAAGCTTATGCTACGTGTAACCAGTTTATTTTAAAGAGCAGTACTTTAAAACAGGAACTACAACAAAAAGTCGTACCTAGAAAAAATTCTAAAAGCTCTACTTGGAAAGGAGCGTCCAACTACATTCAGAAACCGACTTTATCCTTTTGCCTTTACAAAAGTATCAAAAGAACGCACAAAACAGGTACTTAGTAAACAACAGAACACGCCAACCTGTGGAAAATTAGACTTGGCTAAATAGCTAGTCGTGAAATTCACGTACCTTACATTTCTATTAGGTATATTTGAAAACAAGTGAACACACTCATTTTATATCGTCATCTACTTCAAGAAAAACCTTTTTGATAGAAACTAATCTGTTTACAAATAAAGCACATATTAAAGTACAATAGAAGAGGGAGATAAATTGCTATTTAGTGGTTTGAAATTTATAGAAATACAGGAAATCAAACCAATAGGATGATGCAGATGAGGCTTCATTAAACAAGAAAATTCTTCTTGGTTTCAGAATACTACACTATTAAAAAAAAAAAGTATGAAACAAAATGTTGCCCAAAAGCTATTTCTACACAAAATTTGCACAAAACTGTGCCTCCTACAGAATAACTGCTTGATAAGTATTAGCTGAATAAACACAAAGATTTGGCAATTACAAATTTAAAATAAAGTGACAATTTTTATGATCTGAATTAACAAACTGTGTTCATAATCTAGACAAAGAAAATTTCCCCCAGTGGCAATATAAAAATAGCATTTTATTAAAATTTGCAAAGTCCATATTGAATTAGAATGGGTTTATACAACCCATGACCTTCCTTATTTCCTCCATTTTCTAGTCCCCTAGCCTACCACTAACCCCTTTTCTTCCCCCCCCCCCAAAAAAGAACCTACATGCTTTTTCCAAAGTAGTTTCCCTTAAACCAAATAAAAGCGTTATTTCCTGATAGTCATTACCTTAGACAGTATCCATGTGAGGGATGGTAAGGAACACCAAGGGGCAATTTCTGGCTTTAGGTAGATCACTGAAATGGGTAACAAATCTCAATTCCCATTCCTATCACTCATTAGTTTTTCACGTACTCTGTTTAGAAAGGAAAAAGTATTTTAAGCTAAAAGTTTACTTTTTTTCTGGAGGTGACAGATCAACTAGGTTCAAGAAGAATGAGTACTTTTCTCAATGTGGGAAAGAACTTTTACCTTATTGTTTCTTGAGATATATCTTAAGTACCAGTAGTGCGTGTACGTATGCGCGTGTCCTTTATTCTCTGTACATACTAATTATAAGTATCCATGACAACCCTGTATTTTAAGCTCCAAGAGAATAGAAGCTGTATCAATCCCTGCATAATACTTAAATTATTAAGCACATAATAGTGTGTATATATGTATTATATATATAATACATATGTACACACACATACATATATATATATATATATATATATATAATGTGTATTTTGTATAGTATTTTATATATAATATAGCAGAAATTAATGCAGATAGACTGGAAATACTTCTATATATTTGAAGTTCTTCTAAAACACAATTCCATGGGCTTTTAATGCAATTGGGCCTTGCAACTGGAAATGTAATTCTGCTTGTTACTGTAAGTAACCAGGCTTTCAGAAGCCACCAGTGCTTTCCAGAGAACATTAATACTACACTGGGAATATCAAAAAACGGGTAGGCTGCTGCTGGAAATATACATTGGTATAAACTTCTAGGATCATAATCTGGCATTATATACCACATATCTAAAAGTTCCTATTTCTGACCTAGAAATTTCATTTCTGAGACCTAGTCTGAGAAAATAATCAAAACATTCAATGGATGGTTCTATTTGTTCATAATGTGTTTCATGAATTTTTAACATAAGAAAACACAATGTAAACATGGCAAAATTTAAATATATATTTTCCACACTCAATGTGAATGTGAAATGTGTTGTATATATATACACACACCTACTTTTCACTTATTGACATGGTTAGGTTCCAAAAACCAGGTTGTTATACAAAAATTGGCATTATGCAAAAATGGAGGATGACTACATCAGATCACAAAATAGAAGATGACTATACCATTACATAACTGCCAGGTTACATCATTACATACTGCCAAAAAACATTATATAACTCCCAAACCACTGAGGATTGTGGCCGTGCCAACTTGACACATAACCTTAACCATCACAGCTACCATTATTCTCATCCTGCACCTTAGCATTCATTACTGCCACATGTATGTCATTAATGCAAAAAAAGTTTGGATGGATTTTTTTACTATTGTCCTAAGTGTGAATGTCAAATAACAAGACAGTCAATAAGTGAGGGGTGTATGTGTGTGTATATACACATATATCTATATATTCACATATATATCTCCATCCACCCACCCGTGGGTGGTGTAAATGTTCAGTTGCTAACCAAAAGGTTGGAGGTTTGAGTCCACCCATAGGCACCTTGGAAGACAGGCCTGGTGGTATACTTCCAAAAAAATCAGCCATTGAAAACTCTGTGGAAATTGAAAACTCTGTGGAGCACAGTTCTACTCTGACATAAGGGATTGCCAGGAGTTGGAGTCAACTTGAAGGCAAATGGTGATATGTCTATACCCTCAACAAAATGAACTGACACAGTGGCTGCAATGATGGGCAAAAGTATAGCAAAGATTGTAAGAATAGTTCAGGACCAGGCAGTGTTTCGGTCTGCTGTACATAGGGTCACTATGCCAATAACAGCACCTTCCATACGTACTTACCTGCATTTTCAAGTCTTCAACATTGAGGAGGTATTTATAACCATAATTTCAAAAACTACAGTAGGAACATTTAGGCTAGTATGGTAGACACTTTAAAGCAAAGTCATACTCTGCTACTAACATTTTAGAAAAAATATCCTTTGTATCAAAATTCCCAGCAAAGGGGAAACAAAGTAAATAAAAGCTCTTACAGAATGCTTAATCAAATTAAAAGTCATTATGCTCACTGCTTTGCCTCTCCTCCCACCCCCACCCCACTTATTCCTTCCTATTTTCCTTATGAAACAGCTATTAATATCACACTCATTTTACAGATGAGGGATCTAAAATTCCCTGCCCAAGATCAGGTAGTTAATGATGGGCAAGGTGGGATATGAACCAGAGCACTCTGACTCTCAAACACTTCCAAGTACCAAAGTAACAATGCCTGTTTATTTGTTAAAGCATTTAGTACCTACCATGTTCTTGTCCATAAATTCTTTTATATTCTTCCCTTAAAGAGGTAGAGCATAATTCCTTACCCTTTCAGTGTGGGCTGGACTTAAAAGGCACCATGGCAATTTGCTTACTCTATTTCTCTTAGGTCACAGTCACTTACTCTTGAAGTTAACTGCCATATTATGAGTATACTCAAGCAGTTCTGTGGTAGGGTTCCAGTGGCAAGGAACTCTGGCATCCTGCCAAAAGCTTTGTAACTGAGCTATCTTGGAGACAGACTCCCCTGTGCTAGCAAAGCCTTCAGATGTCTGCAGCCCTAATAGATTGCAACCTCATGAAAGACCCTGAGCCTGAACTATCCTACTATCCCTGATCCATAACCACAACACTGTGACATAATGCTTGTTCTTTTAAACTGCTAAAACTATCCATTAGTAGATAATATGTTGTTGTTGTTATGTGCCATGCAGTTGGACTCATAGAGACCCCTCCTTGGGTTTCTGTGGCTGGTGGGTTTGAAATGCCAGCCTACTGGTTAGCAGTCAAGTGCCTTAGGCACTATGCTACCAGAGCTCCTAGTAGATAATATAGGAGAACAACAACAACAACAAAAACAACAAAAAGTTGCCACCAAGTTGATTACAACTCATGGCAACCCCATGTGTACAGAAAAGAACTGCTCAACAGGGTTTTCAAGGCTGTGACATTTCAGAAGCAGATGGCCAGGCCTTTCTTCAGGGTACTCTTGGGTAGGTTTGAACCACCAACCTTTCAGTCAGTAGTTGAGTAATTAAACATTTGCTCAGGAGAAAAGATAATTTAAACTCCCAACCTGTCATATTTCACAGCTTGGAGAAAAAAAGGTAAAAGTTTATAAATGCCCTCTAACGTTCAGCTATAGAGTCCTGAGCAGTTCTTTTCATTTATTAAGCCTTTATAGTCTGGACAAGGAGCTATGGTGGCATAGTGCCTAAGGCATTTGACTGCTAACCAGAAGGTTAGTGGTTCAAACCCACCAGTCGCTCCACAGAAGGAACACTGAGCAATCTACTTCTGTAAAGATTACTGCCTCAGAAACCCAAAGAGGTTGCTATGAGTTGGAATCAACTCAATGGCAGTGAATTTAGATTTTTTTTTTATAGTCTGGACATTAGCTCTTTCATCCTCCAATCTCTGTATTTTGAAACAAGTCTTTGTAATATAATCATTAAAATTAAAGTCTAATATAACTCAAAACAGGTATCTTTGGTCTGCTGATAGAATTTAATTTGTATGCTACAAAATGTCCAGTTGTGCTATTTAAATGATTTTATGATCCTGTAGTAAACCAAGATGAAAAAGTTTTTGAGAAATATGTAAATACAATACAGATTTTAAATGTTTTCATTCTTAGACTGGCCTGATTAGCCTTGAACAGCATGATCTTTTTTCCCCTAACTACCATGAATAAGATATATTACACTTTAAAAACAAAATATATGACTATAAGATACTATA